AACAAAATTTGGGTGTTAGTAAGCGGTATGCACATTTGGTTGCAGCATCCCACAGTCATGTGACTGCTGACCTTCTCTTCTGATTTCCCACAAGCAAAGTCAGTGGGTGAGCCAGCAGAGAAGGTAAGAAATCCCTTGGATAAGTCTTCACACACACCCCAGCCATTCTTTGCTAGTTTGTACCCACTAGTACCTTCCACATCTTGTTTCTCTAATCTTCTCTGCCTTTCACTCAAACTTTCATGAACTCCACACCCTCTTTCCCAGCCTTCCTGAGCTCTCCTCCCCAACCTGTGCATAGCCTGCACTGTGTTTCCCCTCTCCTGTACCATGTAGCACTCTTATACTCCTTCTCTAGAACATTCTTCACTTCTTGCTTAATGACCCACATGTTTTGGTATGGTGAGAACTGCCACTGCCAAGATTGCGATCACTAAGGAAAGTGGCACAGTGGTTAGGATGCAGTACTGCAGGCTACTTCTGCCCGCTGCCAGCAGTTTGGCAGTTTGAATCTCACCAGGCTCAAGGTTGGTTCAGCTTTCTATCCTTCCAGAGTGGGTAAAATGAGAACCCAGATTGTTGAAGGCAATATGTTGACTTTGTAAACCACTTAGAGAGGCTGTTCTAAGTGCTATTGCTATTTTTGATCTGATCACTTAGCAAAGACAATCACAATGGCTGTCATAAATTAAGAATTACCTCTAAGATGTTTGATTTTCTGTACATCAAGAGTAGTGTAATTCTCCTGGAAGCAGGAAAGGGTCAGGCAAAGGAGAAATTGCCAACAGAAATTGCTTATTTTTTTCCTCCCTACCCCATCAAAGGATGGAGAGATTGGAGAGAAAGGAGATGTCAAGAGAGTAAGCTGTTTGCTCTTCTATACATACAGAGCAAAGCAATAGTTTCAGCAACAAGAATTTATTATTTGCATAAAAATTTCTACTCACATACTGTCCTTGCTTCTGCCTTATTGATTTACCCATTACTCGTGCTTTAAATTTTTCTGGTATCTTTCTCTAAATAATGCATCAACTCCATCAAGCCACCTCCTTTTTAAGTCTCTCCCTTCATCTCAATCATTCACTCTTCTTTCGTACACTGTTTTATAATTCACTCCTCATACTTTTTCCCTAAACGCTGAAATCATTTCAGTGTATTTCTTTTGTATTAGAAGTTATGTTGCATAGACCTTATTGCATGTATTTCAAAAAAATTGTTTTTGAAAACGCTTGAGACTTCTTTTGTTATTTCAACAAAGGTATTAATGATGGTTCTCTGCCTAATCTCATTATATTGAATTACATTTGATGAAGCAGATAGGAAAACAAAACATTGATATTGTTGTAACATGTCATCTGTGCTATGCTTTATAATTAGAAACTTTGTAAATGGATTCTTGTTTATCTTCAAATAATTATATTATTTTAACATTAACTTGAATAGTTTTATTTTATCCTTTTATATATTAAATAGAATGATAAAAAGTATATTTTTAGATTAACTGAGCTATGAAGAATTACAGATTTTGAATATTAAGAATATTTTTGTGTTAGAAATTCATGAATTGTTTTTTTTAAAAAAAATACAATCACTAGTTGTTATTTCAGAATACGCTTAGTTCTTTTAATGTCTTAAAATAAAGTACTAATTAGAGCTTTGATTTCAGATTTACAGTGGCTGAACACTGAAGGTTCACTTTCTTTATATGAACATCTTTGTGGAAAAGTAGTGGTATTAGATTTCTTCACCTACTGCTGCATCAATTGCATCCATATTTTACCTGATCTTCACGATTTAGAGGAGAAGTACTCTGATAAAGGTATTAAATCAGTCAATACTTTGTTCAAAGATAGATAACAGACTTCAAGAGGGCTTGGACTTTGACTTGTTGTGGGAACATAACAACTCCAGGTGGATTCCCTTCTTGGCTCTGTCTCTCCTTTGACTATACTCTTCACATTCATGAACTAGAGCCAGCTTGATGTGTCAGCCTTAAAACTTTGGCCTTCCTTCCTTAGCTGCTCCTTCCTTTCTAAATCCTTTAACAATGAAGATAGGAACTATACATAAATATAATTGTTTTCTCAGTTGCAAAAAAAATGTTCCTTTTAAAGATGAAAATGTAGGGAGTACCTGGAGATTTGATTGGGTGGTGTGTGCCTTTTCCAAAAATCCTATTATTATCTTGTAGTTTGTGATTGCAGAAAGTCTGAAAAATGTCTAAGAGTTCAAGTACGATGCTATGCCCTGAAATATACATTTTACAAAATGCCACATTAGTCCTCAAATGTAGTTGTTTCAAATCCAATGCCAATATGCTTAAATATAGAGAATTGTTTCATGACATTGCCAATATTAGTGCATATCTTTTAACTATTATGCCATACCTAAAAATTGCAGGTTTCTATTGATACATGCATGAATTAATGTCAACTAACATTTGTCTAATGCTTTCCTGTCTTATCCTTGCTAGGACTATTTCTGAGTTCATAATGGTATTCACAAGGTTATTTTAAACCCTAATGCACATTCTTATCACATTGACAGTCTGGAAATGACCTGTTGGACTGCTGTATGAGGAAATGCTTCTTGACAGAAATACTTTGGGATAGAGCCAGTTCTTTTTTAATGCAGTTTTAAATCTAGCCTGATCCTAGAATTTTACTGTGCAATATTTTATTCTTTTTGTTCTGTTGTCAATGAAATTGTCTTAAAATATAGATTACTTTTCTTTTAAACAGAAAACATATTCTAATCAAATTGATTTGCCTAAATACAAATTGCTAGTGGATTATTGCTTTGATCTATACAAAATCAGAACACACAACAGGTTATGTTCTATGATTTTTCATTCGTTCTCTTTTTGTCTACTGCTTCACTATGCATTGAAGCAATTGTGAAGTTTTGTTTATCTTTTAGATGAAATTACGAGCCAGGGAAATAGGGATAGAACTGGCAGATCCCATTTCAGTAGCAAAATTATATTTGTATAGCAGCAGTTTAAAACAGAATGCATTGCATATTCATTAATAACGTATGTACTATATTTTATGTTGTATTTTTATTTATAGAGATGACAAAATTTGGTATTTTATGATATCTCGATATTTCTGTTCAGATTTTAATAGATATATTTAGTGTCATTGTTATTATGTTATGGTGGTACAGTAGTTACAATGCAATGTTTCAGGCTAACTCTGCCGACTGCCAGCAGTTTGATCCTGACCAGCTCAAGGTTGACTCATTCTTCTGAAGTCGAAATGAGGACCTAGATTGTAGGGGGCAATATACTAATTCTGTACACAGCTTAGAGAGGGATGTATAGCACTGTGAACCAGTATATTATTGCTATTGCTATTATTCCTTCATTTCAATGCTTATGTACTCATAACCAAATAGCACTCACTTTTGGCTATTTAGTGAAAGGAAACATAATAATAACAACTCTCACTTGTGGAGTAAGATTAAATTCTGCTTAGTACAGATGCTAGCAGCTCTAGAAGCCAGGTCTCTGCATTAATTCTGCTGCTTATCTTCAATTCTTAAAATAGGAAGAGGAAGGAAGAATAATTTATAAATTCTTGCAGACTTCTGTATGTCTTCAAAATGATAAGCAGAGTGCAGCATTATCCTTATTCCTATTAAATCCTTGTATCACTTTTTGAACTCTTATTCTAAATTTAAATGAAAAGATAGTGCATGAAATGTTTTATTGCAGTACCCTTGATACTCTCTTTTATCAGGTTGTTTTTATAACAGAAAAATACAATTGAATTCTAACCAAATAAACTGTTAAAAGCATTTGTTCTACTTGGTAATAAATTAAATACAATATAAAAGTCACTTAAGCATGTGGGAAAGGATACTGAAATCAGACCTATCATTTCCTCAGTTCTTTTGATCTAGGATTCTGTCTCTTTACAGAGCACAAGGTTATTTACGGTGATATTGTGTCAACTCTGCATAATAGAAAAATGAACAAGATTTCTGGGACTTCTTTTTCTCAGAATGTCATTAGAACAGTTCCTCTCTGTATCTGTCTCATCCTGTCTTATAAAATGGCCTGCGAGAATAACCTTGAGAGATAGGATAAAGAACCATAGCCTCAGACATCCCGCTGAACTGTCCAGAGTTGTTATCCAGTCTTCTGGTTTGTAAAGTTTCATTTAAAAAAGTACTGTATGGGGTCATTTTGAAGTTGATTATATAAGCTGTCTAGTATGTTAACCACCATAAAGGTGTGTTATAGAATGTTCAGTGTTTAAGCAAGACTCCAAATTGTATTTGTTGCTTTGTCTTGATTGAGGCTATTCTCTTTCTTATCTTAAATCTTGATGCTGAGGTTGTAGCTTTGGCCTTTCTTGTTTTAATGCTTTATTATGAATTTTAGAAATCTGTTTTGACAATCCTTGATCTCTTCTGTGTTACCCCCAGAATATATACTAGGGAGGGGCAATCTGAGCCCAAGTGCTGTTACATATTTAAAGAAAAAACAGGAAAATACACATTTTTAATTAGATATACATCCAGGTTTTCTTTTGAAATTGCTCTAAGCAGGTAGCAATAATAAAAATAAAGATTAAAAAACCCAAAATTATAATTAAACAGATCTAAAACAATTATAGGATCCAAATCTTGGCTAAGTGTATCAATTTTTCTTTAGTCTATTGGAAAAGACTGCCTCTAGATTTCATTGTTAGTCTCACAGAACATCACTACAGTACTGTTTCTGTGATGAAGGAAAAAGTGATAGCTCAGTAGCAGACAACGGCTTTGAGAGGCAGGGTGGGGAAAGATGGCAGCTAAAGCATTACGGTCACAGCCCTATTCTTTGGTGTGTACAACATCAACACACAACAAAGGCATCACTCTGAACAGAATGCTTTCATCTTGCTCTTTTGACATCACCAACCTCTGTGAATACCATTGGTAAGCCCTTTATTTTACATGCAAAAAGGCCATGATTAATTCCTGATTGAGTAAAAAAAAAACTTGTGTATGAAACTTAAAAGTTTTCATTGCCATCTAGATAGACAGCGTTGAGCTAGATCAAATGGTGTTGTAAATCAATTTAACTCAATATAAAAAAAATTTATTCTTACTATTTACAAATGTAGGTGGACCCCCATAAAATATAATAAGAAGTCTGAGAAAGTTACAGTCCCCATCCCCACATGGGCAAATGCGCTTAGCTACAGGGATTTTGCTGTACCTGCCTTATAGAAATGCAGATGGAAATATGTTGAATCTAGTTTTAAATTCTATTATGTTGGAATAGCCTATTAACTTTCATCTGGAATTACTTGCCCCTTATTCTCTAAATACTTAATTGCTTACTTTGATCATACATATTGTAATAGAGATAACCCATACCAAGTCAGCTTATGCTATATTGTCTGCTTCCAGGGTGAGGAAAAGTTATCTATTAGAATTAGAGGGGTTAGCCAACAGGGAAGAGCTGCGTTTTGATCTAATAAGAACAATAAATCTCTACCACATTTTATAACACTGGTAGTAGAGGCCTATATATTTTTACAATAAAGTTCTTTATATGTTCGCTCTTGCTGAAAACCACATACATAGTACAACTATCTAGCTTATCCCATATATCCCAGCAACAGTACAGCATTCCAACTAGGTTTAAATCTCATTATTTGTTTCTTATCTATGCTTTCAGATGGTGTCCTTGTTATTGGTGTTCACTCAGCAAAATTTCCAAATGAAAAAGTTTTGGATAACATCAAAAGTGCTGTTCTTAGATATAACATCACTCATCCTGTGGTAAATGATGTTAATGCAACCCTCTGGCATGAGCTAGAAGTGTCCTGCTGGCCAACCTTGGTAATTGTTGGACCTCGTGGCAATATCTTGTTCAGTCTGATTGGTGAAGGGCACAAGGACAAACTATTTCTATTTACATCTATAGCTTTAAAATACTACAAGGAACAAAAGGAAATTAATAGTAATAGAATTAGAACACAGTTATATAGAGACTCTTTGTCACCTTCACCTTTGCTGTTCCCTGGAAAAATTGCAGTAGATAGTTCGGAAAACACCTTGGTAATAGCAGATACTGGACATCATAGGATTTTGGTTGTGAAAAAAAATGGTCACATTCTGCACATCATTGGAGGTAAGGGTAATCAAATATATTTAAAGATCTTATACTGTATTGTTTTGTTTTGTTGATTAATGATTAAAATATAATAATTGTTTTAAAACCTTGCATTTTACCTTGACAACTCTCATGGCAAATCCTAATTCTATCTGTCTTCTACAATTCTTCAATATTGCATAGAAAACTATATTAAAATTAGTTTCCAGTCCTACAAAATGCTTCTTTGAGTGTATATGGAGCTGCAAATAAATAATTATCTAATTCTGAGTTCTAATAACCATACAAAATTTAGTAAGTCATGAAAATGATACCACATTTTTCAGACTTGAAACTGGTATTCTAAAAATAACTTGAGCAGTAGATTCTATGAAATTCAGTTGTTTATTTTAGCTCGTAGCTGACTGCATGTTTTCTTGGCACTGTGTTCCATTTTGTATTGTATTATATAATTCCTTGTGTTTGAAAGCTGAATCTTTAAAGGAAATTATTGTAGATGCAATAAATATGTGATAATGTTTAAAGATTAATAGATTATATTGCTAGGCATTCTACAAGTTTAAAAATTCTGCTTTTCTAAAAAGAATCTACACTTTTTTGTGGAAGAATATTAAACATATTGACTAATATTGATTTGATTAGGTCCACAGCTGTTGCTATTCTAATTAATGTAAAATAAAATTCTTTGCGACCTAAATCTGACATGTCTGTGTATCCATTGTTGACCTCTAGAAAAAGTTATACTCTTGTTTTATGTTATTTTTGTTCAAGGACCAGACAGAGGAAGAAATGATGGAAAATTTTCAGAAGCATCATTCAGTTCTCCACAAGGAGTTGCCATAAAGAACAGTATTATTTATGTAGCAGATACTGAAAACCATCTAATTAGAAAGGTAAATTGATTGATTATGTTCTATCATGTCAGTACCAATTTAGCAACAACATAGACAATGTGTCCCTAACCTGGTCCTTACCTTGAATTTTTTTATGGATAAAAAACAATGCCAACACAAAGGGCTATGCAATGTGACCAGCAATAGTATTTCTAAGTATATTTTTATTCCACGTAGATAAAAAAAGTATTATTTTTATTTTTGTATTAAGCTTTGAAAGCAATTTACCAAATGCAGGTAATTTTCATTTAGCAACTGCAGTTGGGATCAACTACCTTGTCATTACATGAAGTGGTCACTAAATGAAAAATCACATGACTGCAGTGTGGTTATGATTTTACTTCAACTTTCCTTTGCGTTATGGCATCAGAGGGATATGGCTCCAAACAATGGAGCAAGTCCCCACAGTGAAGAATGTTCACACACAAGGAAGCTGAGTAAAAGGGAAAATCTAACAGTCTTTTTTCCCCACTCTCCCACCTTTTAGAACACATTCCCAAAATGTTAGAATAATTAGCAAGAAGGAAATTAATGTTTGCGTTTACATTCAGTGGAAAGGAAAAAATTATTAGTCAATAAGCACCCACTGCACACTTACATCTGTGAGCCACTTAGGAGCCAAAAAGCCTTCATTGTGAAATTGATTACATTCTTGTCAGCGGCAGACGGCAGGAGGGTTCTAATCAACTAATTAAAATCACAGATCTGAGTTTGTTAACTTGCAGTTAGCACCTTTCATGAAAGAGCTGCACTGCAGACAAAAGCAACTCGGGAAGAAGGAGCATGTTCAGGCAATCTCTTCACTCTGCAAAGAGGTGGGATGGGGAAAGAAAACAGGTCAGGCATAGGACAACACATATGAGCTGATTTTAATACACTTGACCAAGAGATGCTGCAAAATCTCTTTTTCATATATTTTTATTCATAAATGAAGACACTGGTCTCAAAAGCTATTTTTTATTATTGTTAACATAACTGCGAACAATCACTGTCTGAAGCAGTTGCTAAACAAGAGCACGGGCCATTAGATACCAGTTGTACTCTGCACAGAACAATGTGTGCATATGTCCATTGTATCTCATTCATATTCTTTCCATTGGAAACCATTTTGTAACTTTTTAATATGTTCCATTTCAAACCTTATTTTCATTGGCATCGCAAAATTTCAGTATCTTGGTGCTGATTGATAATCACATCCAACCAATGGATCCTGCATATATGAAATCATCTCTAATTGTCATACGTTCCAAACTTTCCATGTTGTAACATCTGAAATGATTACCATGCCTACTCACTACTCTTAGAGTTAAGATTTAAAAAGCCAGCTTTTCATTTATACTGCTCTATATTTTTGTACATAATAAATTGTCATTAATTTATATTGTGGATTAGTCCTATAGATACTGAATTAGGATTAATTAATGAACTTTATTTTCTCATTTCATAGAAGTCATTTGCATTATATATTTTGATCTCGCAAGTTAGTGGTTCTCAAACATTTTTATTTCAGGACCTCTTAAAAATGATTGAGGATATCAATCATTCTTAAAAATGATGGAGGATATCAAAGAGTTTGGTTTATATTTCTGGATTAGCATATTAGAAATTTAAGATTTATAACATTTAAAGTATTTGTATCTTTGATTTAGGGACTCCCTGAAAAGATCTCAGGACCCCCAGGGTCCCCTGACTATACTTTGACATACAATGTTTTGAGTGAAGAAAACCATTGTTATCCCTGACAGACAGATATAAATTCTTCACTAAAGATATAAACTATTTCAAAATTAAAGATATGTGCTACTCTGATACTAACTATAAAGCAGGGCACAAACTAACTCCCTGCTTTCACAAGTATAGTATATTCCAAATAAATATTACAGTATTAAAGATATTTTGCTAAAAATGGTTAACAGTATAAAAAGATGTGCCATTTTATAAGTTTACTAGAAAACTAAATTAATATGAATTCTTTGTGCTTTTTGAGTTTGTTTGTTTGTAATTAGTAAGAAGCTCAGAAAAATGCCAAGAATTCCACAGATCAACCCTGAGTTACACATATTCTCTTTTATTAAAATAAATCAATAATTGATTCTAGATTGACCTGCGGTTGGAGTTAGTGAGCACTGTTGCAGGAGTTGGAATACAAGGCACTGATAAGGAAGGAGGAGCCAAAGGAGATGAGCAGCCTATTAGTTCACCATGGGATATAACTTTTGGAAGCTTAGGTATTTTTTATGATGTTTATATTTTATATTTATTATGCTTTTTTCAAAGATTGTAGTCTGCTTAATACCACTGCCGGTAGATTACCACCTAATTTTTTCCTTCTACTTACCCCTTCCCTTATCTCATGAGCACAGAAGATTATGAGTCATCATTATTTACAATAAATTCTATGTGTTGAAGGCAATCACATTTTTACTCATGTGCTCAGTTATATGCCCAGATACATAGAACCTGTATATTAAATATATAATTGTGTATCTTGTAGCAAAATAACTTTGCAAATGAAGGCAAATATACATGTCCCAGGCTATTGTTGCAGGATCCAATCTGAGTTGATCATCCAGACAGAAGGTTTGTTCTTCAAAGCTTTTGGACTCATGCTGGAAGCCCATCTTGAGAGAATCTCCAGGATATATGCACTGAGCTGTTCTATGCATAATACACTGCTCAAAAAAATAAAGGGAACACAAAAATAAGACATCCTAGATCTGAATGAATGAAATATTCTTATTAAATACTTTGTTCATTACATAGTTGAATGTACTGACAACAAAATCACACAAAAATTATCAATGGAAATCAAATTTAGCAACCTATGGAGGTCTGGATTTGGAGTTACACTCAAAATTAAAGTGGAAAAAAACACTACAGGCTGATCCAGCTTTGATGTAATGTCCTTAAAACAAGTCAAAATGAGGCTCAGTAGTGTGTGTGGCCTCCACATGCCTGTATGACCTCCCTACAATGCCTGGGCATGCTCCTGATGAGGTGGTGGATGGTTTCCTGAGGGATCTTCTCCCACACCTGGACTAAAGCATCCCCCCAACTCCTAGACAGTCTGTGGTGCAACATGGCGTTGCTGGATGGAGCGAGACATGATGTCCCAGATGTGCTCAATTGGATTCAAGTCTGGGGAACGGGCGGGCCAGTCCATAGCATCAATGCCTTCGTCTTGCAGGAACTGCTGACACACTCCAGCCACATGAGGTCTAGAATTGTCTTGTATTAGGAGGAACCCAGGGCCAACCGCACCAGCATATGGTCTCACAAGGGGTCTGAGGATCTCATCTCGGTACCTAATGGCAGTCAGGCTACCTCTGGCGAGCACATATAGGGCTGTGCGGCCCCCTAAAGAAATGCCATCCCACATCATTACTGACTCACTGCCAAACCGGTCATGCTGGAAGATGTTGCAGGCAGCAGAACATTCTCCATGGCATCTCCAGACCCTGGCACGTCTGTCACATGTGCTCAGTGTGAACCTGCTTTCACCTGTGAAGAGCATAGGGTGCCAGTGGCGAATTTGCCAATCTTGGTGTTCTCCGGCAAATGCTAACCGTCCTGCATAGTGTTGGGCTGTAAGCACAACCCCTACCTGTGGATGTCAGGCCTTCATACCACCCTCATGGAGTCTGTTTCTGACCGTTTGAGCAGCCACATGCACATTTGTGGCCCGCTGGAGGTCATTTTGCAGGGCTCTGGCAGTGCTCCTCCTGCCCCTCTTTGCACAAAGGCAGAGGTAGCGGTCCTGATGCTGGGTTGTTGCCCTACTATGCCCTCCTCCACATCTCCTGATGTACTGGCCTGTCTCCTGGTAGCGCCTCCATGCTCTGGACACTACGCTGACAGACACAGCAAACCTTTTTTTAAAAAAATATAGTTTATTAATTTTTACAATTAAAACCAGTCACAATACATACACAAATAAGCAAAAGAAAGAAAAAGAAAGAAGAGAGGAGAGGAAGAGAGGGAAAGAATTTTGAGAAAAGAAAGAAAAAGAAAGGGGGAAGAAAGAAAAAAAGAGGTTAAAAGTATTCTTATTTTAACAGTTTGCAAGGTCTTTTGTTTTCATAACCTTAACTTGTGTCATATAACCACACCTGTTTTTAACTTATATCGCTACCTCGTTATTATGGGTTGATACTTTTCTTTTATGACTTATGATATATAATTTATCTTTGGTCAATCCAATTATACCAACAATTCTAGCTATCGTAGTATAGTGAAGTGTCTTTGTTTTTTAGCGCCAAAGTCAATTTATCCATTTCTGCGCATTTTGAGTTTTTTTCAATAATCATTTCTTCTGATGGAATTTGATGTTGTTTCCAGTGTTGAGCGAAGGCTAATCTGGCCGCTGTTAAAATGTGTATTGTTGTGTATTTGGCTTTTTTGGAAATTTGCTTATCAAAAATCCCTAGTAGGAAGGACTCTAGTTTGTATTCGATCTGCTCTTTGCTGATTTCTTCCAACCAAGTTTTTATTTTCTTCCAATACTTTTGGGTTTCTGCACAAGACCATCACATATGGAAAAAGGTTCCTTCTTTTTTCCTACACTTCCAGCAATGCGGATTCATGTTGGGGTGCATCTTCGCTAACCTCGAAGGGGGGAGATGCCATCTACAAAACATTTTATAAAGATTTTCCTTGTAAGCTGCCGATTTGGTAATCTTATTGTTTCTGCCCCAAACTTTCTCCCATTCCGCTAATGTGATGCTGCGCCCTATGTTCTTACTCCAAGCAATCATATTTCCTTTTACAATTTCTTCTTCTAGTTCTGTTTCTAATAAGTAGTTATAAAATTTTGTTATGTTTTTTTTATTTGATCCTAATAAAATTTTATCTAATTGTTGCAGTTTGTTATTAATTCCAAATTCTTTTTTGTCTTGTTTGTATCTGCTTTGAATCTGAAGGTAAACCCATTGATCAATTTTATGTCCTTGCTCCTGAAGATCCGGCCTCGGTTTCAAATTTCCTTGTGGGTCTAATAAGTCTTTGTATTTAATCATTTTGGTAAGCTCCAGATTATTTGAGTGAATCATTGCCTCCATTGTTGAAATCCATACTGGTACTTTTGTATAATGTTTTTTCCTTATTTTCCTCCAAATTGTTAATAGTGCGTCTCTAATTAAATGTCTATGGAAATATTTTTGACTGGTTTTCCCTACGTCCCATAGAAAAGCGTGCCACCCCCTTTGTAAATCGTGGCCTTCTAGAAATAGTATTCTTTTATTGGTTAAATTCACCCAATCCTTCAACCAAACTAACGAGGTGGCCATATGGTATAACTCCCAGTTTGGAAATGCTAACCCTCCCCTGCTCTTCATATCCTGCATTGCTTTTACATTTATTCTGGGTTTTTTCTCTTGCCAAATAAATTTCAGGGTTATTCTATTGAGTTCTTCAAAAAACTTTTTATGTAATTTAATTGGGATCGTTTGGAATTGGTACAAGAATTTGGGGAGAATGTTCATTTTAATAGTAGCAATTCGGCCTAGTAATGAGATTTGAAGTTTCCCCCACGATTCTAAATCTTTCTTTACCTGGTGTATCAGTTTATCATAATTGTTTTCTTTAAGTGTCTTACAGTGTGGGGTTAGCCAAATTCCTAAGTATTTCACTTTCTTTGCCACTTGTATATGCATTATTTCTTCTAGTTCTATTTTCTGTTTTTCTGTTAGGTTTTTGGTCATTAATTTGGTTTTGGTTTTTTTGTTTATTTTAAGGCCAGCTACTGCTCCAAATTTCTCTAATTCACTCATCAATTTTGGTCCCCTGTCTTTTGGTTCTTCAATGAAGAAAATCATGTCGTCCGCAAATGCTTGCAATTTATATTCCTCTTTCTTAACTGTTAATCCCTTTATATCTGAATTCCGCCTAATTCATGTTAATAATGTCTCTAATGCTAATATGAAGAGCAGGGGAGAGAGTGGACAACCCTGTCTCACTCCTTTTTCTATCTTTATTGGGCGGGTGCATTCCCCATTCACTATTATATTAGCTTGTTGTGTATCATATATAGTTGTTATAATATTTTCAAATTTGGTGCCCAAATTCAAATTATAAATTTTTTGAATTAAAAATTGCCAATTTAGATTGTCGAAAGCCTTCTCTGCGTCTAGGAACATAAGTGCTACTTGTTTCTCGGGGTGAGCTTCGTAAAATTCTAGTACGTCTAATACTATTTTTAAATTGTTCTTTATTTGCCTAGTTGGGAGAAATCCGTTTTGGTCTACATGTACATACAAGTTTAAGATCCTTTTTAATTTGTTTGCTATAATAAGTGTGAATATTTTGTAATCAGTATTTAAAAGTGAAACCGGCCTGTAATTATTTATATATCTGGGATCTGTATCCTCCTTCGGGATCAGCGAGATCAACGCCCCCCTCCATGAGTCCGGCATCCTGGCTGCCAGTAAAACGTCATTAAAGACTTCCACCATAAGTGGTCTGATTTGATCTGCTATTGCCTTGTACAGCTCCCCTGGGATCCCGTCTGGGCCCGGGGTTTTATTATTTTTCTGGCTCTCTATTGCTGATTTCAATTCCAATTCAGTAATGTCTTTATTTAATAGTTCAGCCATTTCTTCCCCAATTGCCTTATCCTTTACTTCATCTAGATAATTCCTTATTCTATCTTCACTGACGTCCTCTCTTTTGTATAAATCTTCAAAGTAATTATGAATGATTTCTTTTTTCTGTTCTATTTCCTGGTATGTATCTCCTTTGCTATCTATTAACTGGTATATCAATCTCTTCTCTTTCTTTCTTTTTAATTTATAAGATAGCCATCTTCCTGGCTTGTTGGCATGTTCAAAATAGGTTTGTCTGGTTAAGTTCAAATTCATAGTCATTTTCTCTTGATCAATTAAATTCAGTTTGTGTTTGGCTATACTTATCTGATTTTGCAGCTATACTTATCTGATTTTGGGTTCTTTTGGGTTATTTTGTAGAAGGGTTTCTAGCTCCTTAATTCTTTGTTGTAATTTGTTTTGTTGGGAATATTTTTCCTTGTTTCACTTGGCGTTATAAGAGATTGTTATGCCTCTTATAACCGCCTTCATCGTATCCTAGACATTTTGTTTCGTGGTTTCTCCATTATCATTTTCTTTTATAAAAAAATTCAATTCCTCCTTTAATTTATTAATGTATTCTTTCTCTCTTATTAATTGAGTGTTTAAGGTCCATCTTTTCTTTGGTTTTACCCTGCCCTTCCATATTA